GCTCTAAGACGGCCCAAGAGGCCCCCAATATCGCCCCCCAGACGGCCCAAGAGGCCCCTAAGATCGCTCCCAAACGGCCCTAGATGCTCCCGAGAATACGTGGGGCGGCAGTACCGCGCCATACCCTTCACGTCCGTCCATGCCCCGCGGGTCGCAGACGCAAGCCGAGTGCTCCAAGAAATGTGGACCCCAGGCAACAAAAAAACAAGGTTGAAAGGCGAAGCGCAGCGAGCCTTAAAATCTGGTTAGTCGTGATACTAGCACGAGTAATACTGTTAAGAAGAATAGAGAACAATAGAGAAAGAAAGGGGCAACGGAGAGGTGCGCCAGCCTCCCGTGTGCTGCGCCACGGGCAGCACCAGCCCACCGAGGGTAGGTGGCTCCCGTGCCTCTTCCTGCACCGGGGGGCACAGGTTACTCCACGTTTGGGCGCTGCGTAATGGGGGGTCATAAATGGGGGGGCGGCGAGGGTGGTCCGAAAAGGTACCCAAACGGTACCTAAACGAGCCCCCTGGGGCTCTGGAGGGGCTCGAAAGGGGCACGAAAGGGGACCTTTTCTGACCCCCCCATTTGTGACCCCCCATTAAGCCACGCCCAACACGTCGCCGTGCAGGGCACACCCGGGCACATGCGGCGCGTGTTTCCGCGCACGGGACCCGCCCTCACGGGCCCCCACTGCCCACGGGGGGGCCGGCGGCAGACGCCTTTTGAGCCGTGCGCCGGCAGGCCGACCCCCCGACCACACGCCTGCCCCGCAGCGCGACGGGAGGGCCAGCACAGCAGCCACAGCCTGCCCCGACATAGTTCTTTTTGATTCGCGGGTCGAGAGCGCACCTCTTAAGGTCGAAGCTAAGCGGGCCGCGCGAAGCTTGAATTAACAGCGAGGGGGGGAAGGGAAGGAGCGCAGCCTCACGGCCCCGCCCCGACACAGGCAGGTGCCGTGCAGGCCAGAGCGGATCGGCGAGCCGATCCGAGCCCGCGCAGGGACGGGTGCCCTCGCGGCCCCGAGACGGCAGACGTTACCACAGCGGGGCCACCGCGAGAGCCGGGGGAGCCGCCCCAGGCCCGTCAGGGCGCTGACGCTCCTGGCCCGCCGTGCCGATCCCACACAGGCGACGTCCTGGCGGAACTCAGTTCCCCCGGGACCCCGACGTGCCGCCCACACGCCGAGGCACCTCTCTAGGGGCTTCCTCCTCCTCTTCCTCCTCCTCCGCCTCCTCTTCCTCTTCCTCTTCCTCTTCCTCTTCCACCTCTTCATCCTTCTCCCCTCTTTCTCCTCCGTGTCCCTCCCCTTCTCCTCTTCGTCCGTAGCTTGTTGGTTCGAGCGTACTGCACGGCTCAACCCGGCATGCCCTTGGCGTCGTGCCTTGCACCCCAGCGCGGTGCTCGAGGGACATCGTGGCTGGTCGGCACGTCTTGCATAGGCGATCTTTTCGCGTTGACGCAGCAAAGCAGGGAACCAGGCTGTGTTTCGCCGTGCGCAAGGTGGTATACCTAGCACGAGGCCTTTGAGCTTTCACTCTCTTCACGGGGTCATGTTCGTCAAGGTCTGCTCACATGTTGCTGTTTTATCGTGGTCAGCTTTGGTGCAACCTCTTGGGATCGGCGTTCTGTCACTCTACATCTTCCGTATCCCTGCTCAAAGTGTGGGCGAACATGTGTTTTCGGCCAGTGGCGCAGGCATGGGCGGTATTGTGGTGGCTTCGTTCGTAGTGTGCGTGGGATTCGCTTCCCCTTCATGGGCGCGGCCTTCATTCGCTGTCTGTCGCCGCGCATTCAGAAGACAAGCAGCATGAAAAGGCTTCACTTCGTCGCCACCTTCTTCCCTCTGCCCGCGTCGCTGGAGATGCTCTAGGGGGTGGCTTAGGTTTGTGTTTTCGCCCCTTGACATTGTCATTATCATTCCCCTTCTCCTCCTCGTCCTCCCAATTCCGCTCCTCCCTCTCCTCATTCCTCAACCTCGACCTCCCGCTTCTGCTGTTCCGTCCTCTCTTACCCCCGATCGTCACCCTCTCCGCCCGATCCTCAAGGGCACGAGCAGAAACGACGACTGCCGCAGCCACTGGCCTGGCTCAAACCCGAAGCACGCATACCACCGTTTGCACAAGGCGGGCAGCGCCATCGCCGGCAGAGGAGGGGGACGGGGGGGGGAGAAGGCGCAGCAGCAGCAGCAGCAGCAGCGGGGCGAGGAGGCGCAGCGGCACAAGCAGGAAGGAGGAGCAGGAGCAGGAGTAGGAGGGAGCGAGGCGAGGAGAGGGGGAGGCGGACGAGCGGCACGGAGGAGCAGCAGGAGCTGGGCAGGCGGAGGGGCTGGCGTGTGTGCGTGTTTGTGTGTGTGTGCGTGCATGTATGTGTGTGTGTGTGTGTGAATGTGTGCGTGCGTGCGTGCGTGCGTGCGTGCGCGCGTGCGGGCGGGCGGGCGGGCGGGCGGGCGGGCGGGCGGGCGCGCGTGCGTGTGCGCGTGCGCGTGTGCGCGTGTGTGTCGCCCCCCCCCCCCGCCCTGGCTGCTCATGCTTGGCGCCGCCGCCCGCTGCCCCGCCGCTGCCTGCCACCCGCTGCAAGCAGACGCCCGCGGGGCCGCTCCCGCCGGTGCCCCGTTGGGCGCCGCTGCCCGCTGCTCCCCGCCACTGACCGCTGCCCGCCGCCCCCCGCCACTGCCACGTGAGGGGCCAGCGTCTTTCTTCGATGTTCACTTTCCCTCAGCCTGGCGTCAGCCACTCTGCGCTGGTCGTGGGCCGAACGCTCGAAAGGCCTCCTGCCCCAGCCGCATGCGCCCAAAAGTGTGTGTGTGTGTGTGTTTGTGTGTATGGGTGTGCGTGTGTATTTGTATGTTTGTGTGTGCGCGTGCGCGTTCGTGTAATCTTGTATCTATATATAGAGGTTTGATATATCGCGGCCGCGTGGTGGGCTGAGCTTTCCAGCGCCAGCACCCTCACCATCACCGCTTCTTTAGCCTTGCCTGTATATGCGCCTGTCAGTACGCACGTCAATATGCACGAACGTAATTGCAGCTTTGTCCTGGTGCCGCATCTCTCCAGGGATGCTGATTTCTCGGCACGGGAGTACGATTCGCAGGAACCGTTCAGGAATCGCACCCAGGGCTCCTCCTTGTAAGAACAAGTCTCAAAAAATGAAAAAGCGCGAAATCTTCAGGACGAGTATTGGGAACTTTCTCGTGGGCAAAGTTGGTTAGGTGTTTCTCCTCACGATGTGTTCGCGACGGTGTGGAGGCGTGAGTCCTATCTGTGTTGTACCGTTCTCGCGACGACCGCTCTTATGGCATACATAGACATACCCATGTCTCTCATTTCGACGTCGGTTGGTTGTGTTGGCCCATCTGTGAGGGTACATCGTCAGCGAGTATCATTGAGACAGTTAATGCGACGTTGCGAGCGTTCGCCAGGACCCGAACCTTTTTCAGTACCGTTCCTCATGCGATTGTGACACAGCTATCCAGACGACTAATAATTTCGCTGGTCGGTTATATGAAGATTATCGACGAAACCTTCCAGTTCGATGTGCGGGTATGCGCGGGTCTTCCACGCTTCATTTTGCGCCGCAGCACGATGTTAGCGAGCCTCTGGTATTTATCCCAGCCCTAAGCCTCAACCCTGTATCTTGACATGATCGAGTTGCTGTTCCTCGAGTTATCCCCTTGGTTCTTTGGAGGTTATGCATTCAATTATCCCAGTGCGACCCTACCTAGGAGTTGGAGCCTCTAGGAAAGCAACATTAGTAGGAGCGGTAAGCGCCGTCCTCCTCCTGTGTAGCGCTATACTATGCTCTGCTCTGCTCTGCTCTGCTATGCTATGCTATGCTATGCTGCGCAATGCTATGCTGGGCTAGGCTAGGTTAGGCTATGCTATGCTATGTCATGCTACGCTATGCTGCGCTGTACACTGCTTAGCTATGCTGTGCTATGCTATGCTATGCTATGCTATGCTATGCTATGATATGCTGCGCTATGCTATGGTATGATATACTATGTTATGCTATGATATGTTATGCTATGCTATGCTGCGCTAGTATCTGCTTTGCTATGCTATGCTATGATATGCTATGCTATGATAATGCTGCGCTGCGCTAAACTGAGCTAAGCTCAGCTAAGCCAAGCTAAACTAAGCTAAGCTAGGCTAGGCTAAGCTAAGCTGAGCTAAACTAAGCTAGGCTAGGCTAAGTTAAGCTAAGCTAAGTTAAGCTAGGCTAAGCTCAGATGAGATAAGCAACGCTCAGCTAAGGGGACGTAACTGGGGGAACCGCGGGGCGGATACTGGGGGAACCGCCCGCGGCGAGTTGCACTGCCTGGCCCTTTAAGCATACCGAGTAAGAACCCTTCTATGCAGAGCCTAGGTAGGGAATTGTTGTCATGAAAACTCGTTGTATGAATCTCTGTTAGTTGCTCATTAGATCGTACGTCGTCGGCATCTGTCGACGACGCCCCAGAGGTATTGCACAGCGATGCTCTTTTCCCATGCATCCTGGCCTGCAGCGGGCCTTGTGTGGACCTTAATGAGCATTGCTTGTGGCGTTGGTTTGAACCGTATGGCAGTCTGAGCTTGTAGCTACAATGTATACTTGTTTCGGCATCGTCCTCTTTCTGCTCATCGTCTTTTGTGTACCAGGTGAGCATGCGCACGCGACACATAGGACAGGGTGGCATTCGACGACGCACCCGTGTACATCAAGGAGTTGTTGCACGGGCGCGCAAGTATTTCAAATCACCACGTATGTGCGCATCGGGAACCCCTCTCCCTGATCGACCACGTTGTTTCTCATTCATTTCATCGCATCTTATCTACGGCCCGATCTACACGCTCATGCCACTCAGGTTCTGCGCTTAGAAATCGCACGGGGCTGCGTGGCAATATGCGATCAAAAGCAGAAGGAGGATGATGATGAGGAGGAGGAGGAGGAAGAGGAGGAGGAGGAGGAGGAGGAGGAGAAGGAGGAGGCCTGCGGAGGAGGAGGAGGAGGACCCTGCGGAGGAGGAGGAGGAGGAAGAGGAGGAGGAGGAGGAGGAGGAGGAGGAGGACTGCGGAGGAGGAGGAGGAGGACGAGGAGGAGGGGGAGGAGGATTGCCCCAACGGCTTCGCGATCTGGCTGTCGGATGACGCGCCCCGGCCGGCTGCGGCGGCGACGGCGCCGAGGAACATCGACATGCGTTCCCGTGCAAGGGGGGCGGGGAGGATGTGCACGAGGAAAAGAGGCAGCAGGAGGAGGAGGAGGAGGATCAAGAGGAGGAGGAGGAGGAGGAGGAGGAGGGGGAGGAGGGGGAGGAGGGGGAGGAGGAGGGTCAGTGCAAACCCAAGATTCATTCCCGATGTTGCAATAAACCCTCCCTCCAAGTTTATTTTTCACAGGTCCCTGCAAGGGTTCGCTTTCGCCGAGGAAGGGGCCCGTAGGCCGTAGGAAGACAAACGTTTGAAAACCCTGAACAGCGCCAGAGTACCATTCTGGGGACTTCAGCGCCGCCTGTTGCGTCCTGATGATTTGAATCTTGCCAGAACGCCATTCCTGGGACTTCAACACCGCGCATCAATGTAATTGTTGCGCCCTGACAGTCGTACATCGTGCCAAAACACCATTTTTGACACGTCAACCATGAGAGTCCTTTTCTCGGCGCTATGGCGAGAGCCACGTTTTGAAAACGTGCCGCCCTCCATCCGCGGAGCTCTTGCAACGACGAATGTGCGCAGCGCAAAGGCAAGAGCCACAATTCGAAATATGTTGAGAAAACGACCTGCCCCCCCATCCGTGAAGCTCTCGCAAATTCCCAACTTAAGGAACATGAGTGGCGAAGGAGTCTCAAATTAAACGCCCAGTTTGCCGTGCTGACACGTTTCGGGGTGCGACAGGGGGATCTACTCATAAGGGAAGAGGGTGCAGAAGGAGGAGGAGCAGGAGGAGGAGGAGGAGGAGGAGGTCCTCCGCCGCCAAGGGCGACCTGTTTCTGAGCTGCTCCCGGACTCTTGCGCCGCTCCGCAGCAGCAGCCTCAGGTCCCCTGGCACGGATGCCACAGTGCACACGAGACGTTCGGCGGTCGCCGAAAGTCAGGGGAGCTCTTCGCCCCCGGGTCAAGTTGAAGGGGCCCTAGGATGCCGCGCGTCTTCGTCGACGGGGGACCAAAAAGGCCACCTGGCACGGATGCCTCCGCCGTCTGCCCCCATCGATCGCTTGTGGCCCCTTTTGCCTCGAACAAGAGGCCCTTCCGGTGGGACCCCCTGGCCCGAACATTTTCGGGCCCTCCCCCCCCCCCCGGCCCCAGAGCCCCTTCCGCTCTCTCGCGCGGGCGTGCTCCGCAGCTCGGGCCGTTCCTTCCTTCCGCCGCTCGCCCGCTCGTCCCTCGCCCGCTCGTCCCCCCCCACTGCGGTCGGGAATTCTCGGACCGCGCGCGTTCCTCCACCGGCTCCTCCTCCTCCTCCTCCTCCTCCTCCTCCTCCTCCTCCTCCTCCTCCTCCTCCTCCTCCTCCTCCTCCTCCTCACGGCGCGCCATCCACGTCGCGGTCCCCAGGCGCCCACGTGCCGAGCTCCTCCCAGCCGCGGGGCCCCGCGGAGCTGCGCGGCGCGCTGCCCGCGTGCGGGGCACGGCGTGCCGCTGGGGCCACCGGGGCGACACACGCCGAGCAGTGGCTTCTGACCGTGAGTTGTCCGCCCCTGCCTTCGGGTCCCGGCGACGTCGACGGCCTCGCGACGCCCAGTGTGCAGCATCGCCCAGTTCGCGACAAGTGGCACGCGTGCCCAGGCTCTGGCGCGAGGGAGCGGCGAGGGGCAGGAGGAGCCGGGTGAGGAGGGGGGGGGGCCTTCTGGGGGCCTTCTTGGGGCCATCCCAGGTCCTAGGAGGACAGGGCCGCAGTCTCCTGCGACGTCGCATCGCTCTTTCGTGGCGTCGGCTTCTGGGGATTCGACCACTCCCGTGGGGCCGGATTCTCATCCTGACTTTGTCTTGACGGCCCGCGAGGCCGGCCGAGACCGACGAAAAGCCGGCCGTCGTGAGTTTCTTTGCGCCGCCTGGGTCTGAGGGCCGTTGCATGCGCTCGCCAGGCGGGCGCCGCGCGGTGGATCGCCCAGCTGGGGAGCCGAGGCCGGAGGAGTCAGAAATGGCCCAATCGTGAACTTTCGGAGATCCACGCGGATTTTCAGGATCGGCGCTGGACCTCCTCCCTGGCGCGCGGAGCGCGCCGCCAGAGGCGCCACCAGTGGGGTCCAGCACCGATCCCTGACATCGGCCGATCTGCTTTTCCTGGAAAGGGCGCGGGCCCAGGGTTCTCTTTTAAGGCGGTACACCTGTTCCGCGGTGCCAAGCTCGAAGAGGGTCGGCGGATTAATGTCCGATGCGTAACGAAGTCGAGGAGGGCTGGCGGAGTAAATTTTGAGGACGTCCCGAGCGAAACGCGTGTTGTTGAAATTCCGATCGGTAATACACATGGTATAGTGAACATTGTCGTTTGTTGCGGATGTCTCGAGCGAAACGCTTCCTTTGCAGAATTTGTTGAGGATGCCTCGAGCGAAACGCTTATGTTGTTTTATAGATGGTTCCTCTCCTGGGGGCCAGGATTCTCAGGATGTATCAGGCGAAATGCTTGTTTTCACGTGCCCGGGTCGTTCAGGAAGATATATGGCATGGTTTTCCCCAGATGGGATCTGTTTTCACGTGTCCAGGCCACCCAGGGGGATATCTAAGATGTTGGTCCCGAGATGGAACCACGTGTTTTCACGCGTCTAGGCCGCCCAGTTGGGTTTCTAACATGGCGGTCCCGAGCTTAAGCCATGTTATATATATATATATATATATAACTACGTGTGTGTCCAGGCCACCCAGAGGGGTATCTAACATGCTGGCCCCGAGCTGGAACCACGTTCTTTTCGGTGTGCGGGCCACCTACGTGAGGATATCTAACGTGTGATCGTTTGAGGGCCCCCAGCGTGGTGTCCCACAAGAGCCAGACATGTCTAGATAAAATCAATAAAGCGACACCAAATGTGTAATAACTTGACAAAGTTTACTCGGCGGGTGTTTTTCTGATTTCCCCCTGGGGTATCTAACATGGTGGCACCGAGCTGGAACCATGTGATTTTACGTGTCCAGGCCACCCAGAGGGATCTCTAACATGGTGGCCCCAAGCTGGAACCACGTGTTTTCAAGTGTCCAGGCCACCCTAACATGTGTTTTTACATGTCCAGGCCACCCAGTGGGGTATCTAACATGGTGGTCCCGAGCTGGAAACGCGCGTTTTTGGCTGTCCTGGTTGCCCAGGGGGGGGTACCTAAGATGGTTGCCTTTTGCCCCTCGCTGGAACCACGTGTTTTCAAGGGTCCAGGCCACCCAGAGAGGTATCTAACATGGTGGTCCGAGCTGGAACCAAATGTTTTCACGTGTCCCGGCCACCCAGAGGGGTATCCAACATGGTGGCCCCGAAGGGGGGAGGAGGAAGAGGAGGAGGAGGAGGAGAGGAGGGGGAGGAGGAGGAGGAGGAGGAGGAGGAGGAGGAGGAGGAGGAGGAGGAGGAGGAGCCACGGGCTTTTGGAAGTCTCCGGGCCACCGAAGGGGGGGGGGGGGTATCTGGCATGCGGTCGCCTGGGCGCGCCCAGCGTGGGGGCCCACGAGAGCCAGACAGAATTAACAAATCTACACGAGAGGTGTGGTGACCTGGCACAGTTTCTGCGGCTTGTGATCTTCCAGACTTCTCACTGGGGCATTGATCGAACATGGTGGCCCTAAGCTTCAACCATGTGCTCGTCCAGGCCACCCAGATAGATATCTAACATGGTGGTCCCGAGCTGGAGCCACGTTTTTACCTGCCCAGGCCACTTAGGGCGGTATAGAACATGGTCGTCCCGAGCTGGAGCCATGTGCTTTCACGTGTCCAGGCCACCCAGGGGGTATCTAACATGGGGGTCCCGAGCTGGAGCCACGTGGTTACACGTGTCCAAGGCACCCCTGGGGTGTCTAACATGGTGTCCCCGAGTTGGAACCCAGCGTTGTTGCGTGTGCATGCAGGCCGCCCCGGAGGGGGGGGGGGCTGTGCAAGATGGTTGCCTCTTGCCTCTCGCTGGAACCACGTGTCTTCACGCGTGTCCAGGCAGCCCGCCAGGGTATCTAGCATGGTGGCCCCGAGCTGGGACCACGTGTTTTCACGTGTTCAGGCCACCCAGGAGGGGTGTTTCACACTGCGGCCTCGAGCCACGTGTGCTCACGTGCCCGGTCCGCCCAGAAGGTGTACACATTGTTCATTTGTAATTATTCAAAAGTTCTTTGACTTTTTTGGGGCCAAGATCCTTTCATTTCTAATTGTTCTTCTATCCTGGGCCGTTTCCTGACCACCAGGGGGTCAGGAACAATTGGAAACGAGCACGACTAGAAATGAGCACGATTAGAAATGAACGACGTGTATCCAATGTTGCCAGCATGGTGGCCCCGAGCTGGGGCCACACGTGTTTTTTCTCGTGTGGGGGCCACCCACGGGGGGTAGCTAACATGTGGTCGTCTGGGCGCGCCCAGCATTGGGGGCCCACAGGAGCCAGACAGAACCAATGGATCGACGACAGATGTGTACATACTGATCTGACACGGTGTCATCGGCAGGTGATCTTCCAGATTCCCTCATGGGGCTCTAACATGGTGGTCCCGAGCTGAAGCCATGCGTTTTCACGTCTCCAGGCCACCCAGGTGGACATCCAACATGGTGGTCCTGAGCTGGAGTCACGTGTTTTCAGATGTCCAAGCCACCCAGGGCGGTATCTAACATATGGTGAACCCGAGCTGGAACCATGTGTGCTTCACGTGTTCGGGCCACCCAGGGAGGTATCTAACATGGTTGCCCCGGGCTGGAACCATGTGTGAGATATCCAACATGTGGTTGTCTGGCTCTATGTCTGAGAGTCTCGAGCGAGGGCTGCGGAACTGAGTCGGATCTTGACCTCAAGCTGGTCGAGCGCCCCGCGCGCTTCGGTTGCAATTCGCCCGAGTAGGAATGTTGCCTATTGCGTGCGCGCTCGAGGATGGCGCGCCCCGTGTGCAGAGTATCTGAGGACGTCTCGAGCGAAACGCCTGTTTTGCAGCGCTTAAAAAGCATGGGCGCCCCATATTCCCAGGTGGTTCTGGGAGTGCGGTCGGACCGTTACTCACAACGGATCGTGGCCCTGGGAGCGTGGCAACACGTGGGTTTCTAACGCCCCCCAAAGCGGGACAACGTGTGTTCCTGGCGCCCCAGAGCGGGGGCAAACGTGAGAGCACCACATATGGGTCCCTGACGCCCCAGAGCGGGATAAGCGTGAAGGCACGCGGGGCCCTAACAGCCAGAGCGGGACAAGTGTGAACACGTATGGGTCCCTAACGCCCCCGAGCGGGACAAGCGTGAGCACACGTGGTTCCAAACGCCCCAGAGCGGGACACGCGTGAAACCACGTGGGTCCCTGACGCCGCACAGCAGGACAAGCGTGAAAACACATGGGTTCCTAACGCCCCAGGGCAGGACAAGCTCCTAACGCCCCAGAGCGGGACAAGCGTGAAACCACGTGGTTTCTTAACGTCCAGAGCGGGACAAACGTAACAGCACGAGTGTTCCGAACGCCCCAGAGCGGGACACATGTGAAAACACGTCGGTGCTTAGTGCCCCAGAGCGCGGCAAGTGTGAACAACGATGATTCCTAACGCCCCAGAGCGCGAAAAGCGTGAAAACACGTGGGTTCCTGAGGTCCCGGGGCGGGACGAGCGTGAACTCACATGGGTTCCCAACGCCCCAGAGCGGGAGGGCGGAGCTGGTACCATGCGCTCTCACGTGTCCAGGCCACCGAGGTGTTGCATGCGTCCAGGCCACTTGGCATCGCTCGGACGTGTGCATTGTTCCTTCGGCGAGGACCATCGAGGAACATCCTTGATCATTTGGCAAAAAAACACGCAAGAAACCGAAAAAGACTCAGGGAATGGACGTCCGAGCGATGGTCAGCAGGGGGGGTTCTAAGATGGTGGTCCCGCGCTGGCACCACGCTTTCAGGTGTCCAAGCCACCCAGGGCGGTACCTGACATGGTTGCCCCGAGCTGGAACCTCGTGTGTTTCACAACCACATGCTAGATATCCGTCCATGGGTAGCCTGGACACGTGAAAACACATGGGTCCCTAACGCCCCATAGCGGGACACGCGTGAAAACACGCGGGTTCCTAACGCCCTAGAGCAGGACGGTGTATGCCCCTCCACCCTCGGCGCGTTCCTTGGCTCGTCCTCCGTCGCGTTCCTTGGCTTGTCCCTTGGCGCTTTCCCTGCCCGTTCCGTGGCGCGTCCCTTGCCACGTCCCTTGACACTTCCCCTGGCGCATCCCCTAGTGCGCCCCTGGCATATTCCGTGTCGCGTCCATGCGCCCTGCGCCCCGCGTCGATTCGTCCCGCTTCGGAGCTGAGTCGGATCTGGAGTTCGAGCTGATTGAGCGTTCCACGCGTTTCGACTTCAACCAGCTCTGGGCCAGCTTTGCGGTCAGGCAGCTTGAGCTTAAGATCCAGATCAGCTCGGTCATGATTCGGATGCCAAGGGCGACCTGACCCACGACACTATAGAGCACAACGCAACTCCTCGCGGCACGGTGCACCTCACTCCCGCACGGCACAGCGCCGCACGATCCCTTTGCACGGTGCACCACGATCGATACCTTCGGCAGGTGCAGCTGCCCGTCGCCCAATCAGGCGTCTTGAAAACGTAGCCACGCCTCGCGTTTCGAAGCTCCTTGCCAGGTTCGTGGGTCGATCGTGTCTCCAGCCCGCGGCCCCGGAAGCCCCGGCCTCCTCTCGGGGGGGGGCAGTATTCTGGGTGAAGAACATGGCCCGAAAGGGGTCCCTTTGGGGCCTTTGGGCACGCTCGAAAGGGCCCGTTTAGGACCCTTCTTCACCTCCCATTTGGGTCACCCCCAGTTCCACCCGCCCGAGTTCCTCGCCTCTCAGACCAGTATTTCTGGAGTTTCACAAAGCCCCCGAAGAGGGGCAATTTCGTTAACATCAATGCTCTGTATTGTTCACCACCTCCCAGAGTTATTCCGTGACATCTTCATCTTGCCGTTGCAGCATGTGCGTCGCCCAGAACCACAGGCTGCCTGGAAGGATGTGTATACACATAGATATATATATATACACATACATACATACATACATACATACATACATACATACAGACAGACAGACAGACAGACAGACAGACAGACAGACAGACAGACAGACAGACAGACAGACAGACAGACAGACAGACAGACAGACAGACAGACAGACAGATAGACAGACATACATACATATGTACATACACACATATACATCTATATATATATATATATATACATATATATATATACACAAACACACCAAAAATCGCCTCTCCCGAGAGGCCGAGGACCCGGTCGCGGCGGCCGAGGCGCGCCCGCCGCGGCGAGCCACGCGCTGCACCGCCGCGCGCTTCTCCGGCGCTCGCGCGGGCGGCGCCGGTCGCGGGCGAGACGCGCCGGAGGGCGCAGGCTCGGCAGGATCGGCACGGGCATGCTCCAGGCTTCCTGGATGGGGTCGGAGGACCCTGACCTCCCTCCTCGCGCTGTGAAAACAAAAAAAACGCGACGGGAGGTTTTTCGCTATTTTCGGCCTCCGGGGGCCCTCACCGGGCCTGGGGACCGTCAAAAAACGACTCGGGACAAAAAGCTGGTTCCGGGGAAGGGGTCCAGACTTCTGGGGGTCGACGTTGTGAAAACGTCGGGGGTCGGCGGATCGCGCCGCATCGCCGATGCGTCGGCGATGCGGCTCGATGTGGAGCCCGAGTTTCTCCACGCCGATGGCGCCGATGCCTCGCCGACGTCGCCGATGCATCGCCGATGCATCGGCGATGCGGCGCGATCCTTCGACCCCATCTACTCCGGCCCCATCTAGGAGGAATTTTCTATGCGGGGGGAACGGCGTCGACTACACATAAGATTGACCTTTCGCCGGAGTGACCGTTGGTGCAGGCCCAAAGGGGTCGCCCGATCGCCGAACGCGACGGGGTAGTGGCGTCTTGCGCGCTCGCATTTGGGCCCCCGCGGCCCCCCCAAAGCCGCGCACCAAAGGGCACTCTTACCCAGGGCCACTTCTGCGTGTAACCGAAACGAGCACGAAGATCAACAGCGGTTCCAGTCCATTTTGAACAGGATTCGCTGTCGGCGTCGCCGCGGACGTTGTCCACGTGAGACACAAGGTCGCCTGCCCAACAGCGGCCGCTGTCTGTGTTGGGCAACATTCGCTGTTGGACGTCGTGCCCATGTCTTCCGTGCCCACTGCGAGGCGTCCAAACAGGCTCTCAGAAGATCGAGGTTCGAGTTTCGACCCTGACTCTGGATAGCGCCGGAAGTCTGGACTGTCGTGTACCCCAGCTTTTCCTGCTGAGCCCGTTCGGCATGGCTGAGCCCATTCGGCTGCTGTATGGGCCGCCGAACGAGCTCAATTCCCACAGGGTGATGCGAAGCTGGCCCGCTTGGCAGCCGAATAGGCTCAATCCCATCTTCCTTCGGCGGCCGAATAGGCTCAGACGCGGAACGGGCACAGAAGGTAATCCTGCCCTGGCTCCAGATCCGCTGTACATTTGGCGAGTTCGCAAGGCGGAAAGTTATACCCTGCTTTTCGTGCTCCTTTGATACCACTTTCCGCCCTACTTTGCTGTCGCTGCTTCCGCCATACGTTTGCGGGAATCTCTGCCATACTCCATGGCGGGAATTCCCGCCCAACTTTTTCGCGCCGTTCGGGGTGTCTTCCCGACAGTCGGGAAATCAAGCACGGTACGGTGGACCAGGAGCCAGGGGAGAAGTTTTGCTTGCCCTCTGTTCCCGGGTGTGGCGTCCCGGGCCTGCAGGGCGTTCTTGGCTTTCCGCTCCATTTTGGAGCCCTCGGGGCCTCCTTGGGCATCGTGGGGGGTGCTCTGGAGGCCGCGGAGTCCTTTTCTGGAAATCCCGGGGACACCTCAGCCTCTGGCCAGGGAGGTTTCGGGAACACCCGATCTTCAGGCTCCGGAGGCACGATTCGGGCCGTGGGGTCGTCAGAGATTGGGATGAGAAACTGGCCAGGATAGGCGACGGCAGGGGTCTTGAGACAGATTTTCATCGTCTTTGGGTCGGGGGAGGTTCAAGGAAGACCAGCATACCGATAATCACCGCTGCCCTCCCCTGCTCTTTGCCCTTTTGGGGCCTCCTGGGGGGCCCTCGTCGCCACGCCGCCCAGGTTCCTGTCGGACTCCTGGCCAGATCCGGCGCCCTGGGAGACCTGGCATCGCTCGGACATGTGCATTTTTTTCTCGGCGAGAACAATCGAGGACCATCCTGGACCATCGAGCAAACATTATCCCAGCAAAGCAGCCTAACAGCGATGTGTAAAAGCATAGCTGGAAGCATTGCCTATGGTATTCATGTAGGAGTGCTGGTGTAGAATTTTTGTTTGTTCTCGCAGTCGCATTCGGATTCGCAGTGGCAGTCGCAGTGGCAACATCAGTCCCAGTCGCAGTCGCAATGGCATTGCCAGTAGTTGCAGTAGCAATACCTACAGGAGCAGCAGCAGCAGCAGCAACAGCAGCAGCAACAGCAACAGTAGTAGTAGCAGTAAAAGTAGCAGTGACGGTAGTGGGTGCAGTGAAGTAGTACCAACTACGCATTGTCCTCAATGGGTGTAGATTCGAAGGATCATTTGCTTTCGATAATTGTATGTCGAAACGAGACCCCCGGTAGCAGTGGACATAGGTCCGAACGAGAAACTGCTATCAACGGATGTAGCTCCAAACGAGACACCGTTTTCAATGGATGCTTTTATGGAACGACCAACTGCTTTCGGTAAGTGTGTCTTTACACGAAACGCTTCTATCAATGGATTCAGGTCCAAACGAGACACTGCTATCAATGGGTGCACGTCCAAACGAGACAGTTCCATGAATGATTTTAGTCAGGAGCGAGACACTGCTATCAATACTGGAGTTGTGTGCAAACGAGACACTGCCGCTTCAGGGGCTCGCCGGCAGCCGCGGCAGCACCTTGGGCACGCTTTTCCGCACCCACTGTAGCACGTTAGCCTTGAGCGCAAACAAAAATTGCGTGCAGGTACTCTCAGGAGGAATGGCAGGCTGAGAAGCACTGCAGGCCACAGAAAGTAATCTTGCACAGGCGTCCACAACAGCGGCTGCTGCGGGCTGAGAAGCACAGCAGGCGAACGCAAATCAGCGGAGGCTGGAAAACGAGATGCTTGAGGCAAACATCGCTGGCAGCCCGCAAGGCTGAGAAGCAGTGCAGGCCACCGAGCAAGCAGCGAAGAAGCGGGCGGCACGTGATGTGTAGCAAGCTGAGAAGCATCGCTGACAAGACATCAGCAACTCATTTCAAGCTTTCTCCTGACGGGTGGCCTTCGAGGATTCTGAACTTCTTGGCGGAGTCGGGCGTTTTGCTCCACTCATTCATCCGCTTGTGGTCGCCAGATTGCTGGAGCTCTGTGCGCATCCCCAAGTTCTGAATTGTTTGATGAAGTACTGCACCTCTGTCACTGCGGCCTCGTCAATGTGAGTTACGCTGTGCACCGCGATACCATCTTTTGAACAGCCTGTAATGAGCAACGGGCAGACTCTATGCTTCGCTCTGTTGGGCGGGTCCATTTTGAAGGAGAGCAAGTTGTCTACGTAGCAATACCCGTGAATCGTCACTGCGTGTGAGTTCTCATCGCCAGATGCGTCCGTGACACCTGGTGTAGACACGACGAAGCCACCCGCAGTGGACACGCACCGCGACTTCTGCGTGGTGCGAACAAGAGCCAGTGCCAAGCGGCAGTTCCGGGCAAGCTGAGAAGCGTCACCCCCGTTACCCGCCGGGGGATACTCCACCCGCATGCCGTAGAAGGGGCAGTGACGTATCTCAGAAAGGTGTGCGGCGAGCATAACATCCTGGCTCTCGCGGCACTGCTTCAGGATCTCCAAGACGACATGATAAGAGGTATTGGGAGCGTGCGATATCTGGAGCGGAGATGCTGCAACCACAGTCGTGTTGACAAACGTCCGCTCAGGCGTGTCATCGCCTTCGCTCGCAGCCACATGGCGCACGCGGCGTATTATGCGGCAGTTGCTCAAAGGAGGGAAGGAGATAGCTCTCTCATCGTGGACCTTCTGGAACTCGGACATGGTATCAATACCAGTCAAGGCGAAGACCGCCGCCTGGGACACGGCAATTTTGCAGGAGCCACTGAAATCGCGGGCAGTAGTGGTGAAGAATACGCGCTCGCCTTTGCTCTCCACGACAGAGTCGGCGGGCTCCGGCTCCTCGAGCCTCATCCCATTCACCTGCAGCAAGTGTGGTAAGGTTGCGGTTGGGTCTTCCGATGCCATCGCCAGAAAGCACAGCAGGACGGGAGCGCGTCTCCGGTGAGAATTTGTGAAGCGTGGTCTGGGTCCCATGTGGTCGTATGGGCGGTAGTCAGTTGCTCCCGGTCCTTCGCGAAGTCGCCATGCGCCGCTAGCTCGTTGAGCTGGGTCAATCTTGGACAAGAGCATGCGTAATCCACCACGCGATCCTGTGACAGGTTCAGCTCCAATGTGCCCTCGAATTTGGCCGCTACGTTGAGAAACAGCAGCGGTTGTCCTTTGTGAGACCGACAAAGCTCGATGTTGTCTGTTCCCCAGACAGCAACCACAGCCTCCGCAGTCTTGGAGTTGGTCGCCTGGGTGCCGTCCACCAGGTGCACGCTTGCAACTGGAGAGTGGCCCACGGGAGTGCGTGTGTCTGAAACGGCATGAACCGCAGCCATGACGTCGAAGCAGCGACGCGACTTGATGTTCATCATGTCAGCCACAGTAGTCTGCGGAGTCGGCGCCGATGCCAAGGAGGTCTCCTCCTGAGAGCTCTTGAGGACAGGAGTGCACAGCGTGCGCTTGAGATCGACCACGACACGAACAGACGCGTGCACAAAAGCGTCCTGCTGCTGGCTGCCCAGGCCGACCCTGGATAGTTTACACGCTGTAAGCGGGGGGAATTTCTGGCGAGCAGCCTCCACTTCTGCTGCGCTTCCTTTGAGGATCGCCTCGCAATAGTGGTCTGAGTCCGCGCCAAGCAGAACGCACGTGAAACGTATTGCATCGATCTGCTGGTTATTGCGCTTGCTCTTGTACGAGTACTTGATCTCCCTGGGCTTGTACGCTCGCACTAGGAAGTCTTGAGTTTTGGCGCTGCTCTTCGTGAGACTACCCAGTGGGGGCGTCGGCTGGTCTGCGGCAGAAGCCATGGTAGCCCACCTGACACAGGCTGAGTAGCACCGTGCAGGACACAGCGACACAGGCCGAGTAGCACCGTGCAGGGCACGATGGACGCAGGGCGCGTAGCACCGTGCAGCGCAAGGTGACACTGGGTGAGCAAGACCGCACAAGGGACGGCGGCGCGTCCGATGGCAGACGTGTATCACAAGGCGGCTTTTTGAACCAGCATGGCAATGGTCAGAAGATCTTGGGAGCTTGCGTGTGACGTCGATCGGGGAAATGCCGCGG